TTTGTTCCATTTATTGTTATATCAATATTAAATGCAGCAATATTTCTTGCACTGTTACGTGCACGTCGTGAAGCATCACATTTACATGAATCAACATCTATGGTACGAACATCAACACATCAATTTCATTCATCAATAAATAATCGTGCTCGTATACAATCACAAAATCTTCAAATAACAATTATGCTTATAACAATTTCAGTAACATTTTTTGTTTTAACATTACCAAATGCTATTTATTATTTACTTATATTTTTACGTGTTTTTATTGAAAGTTGGAAAGCTGTTAATTGTGATGTTAATGTATATCGAAATCTTGATACATATGTACGAACATCAGCTGTTATGTATCTTATATCCAATATAACATCGGATTTAATGCATGTTGTTAATTTTTTTCTTTATTTTATCAGTGGTGCAAGATTTCGAAATGAATTTCGTCGATTAATATTTCATAAATTACGTCGATGGTGTTGTAAATCACAACGTAAAATATCGGAAAAAAATGCTAAATCAAAACAAAGTTCATTCATACGTGTAAATGGTGGAAATGCAGTACGAACAGTAACATCATTACCTAGTGGAAGTAGACAACGATGTACATCAAATAATAGTTATACAACAGCTATACAAGATAAACAGACAGAAATATGTAAATCATCAATGAAGAATACTACCTCGAGTGATAATAAATCTAAACGAAATCAATACGCACTTAGTAAGACAGATGATGATGATAAAACTGAAAATGATGATGTTCTTAAACATTAATGAAAAGAAAAGTTATTGAAAATCATTTTTTTGTCTTTATTGTGTTTTTTTTTCTTATAAAATATAAATAGTTCTGCATAAGACAAAGATAAAATTTAAGCATATATATATAATTTATTGGTAAAAATTAACGATGAAATTTACTTTATTCACATTTAAATCTCGAAATTATTCAGTTCAATGATAATTAGATTGCATGAATATAAAGCATCTGTTAATAAGTACTATTTATTTTTAATGATATGACGTAAATAAAGAAAATAATGAGTTTTACAAATTAACCAACGTCATCGCAAAAAACTTCAAAAACTATATATATTTTTTTAAATACTCTCATGAGTTTGTCAAGAGACCCAATGTTATTTTTATCTATTGTAATATACAATGGTAGAAGGAAATCAATTATCAAAGAATATCCTTCCTTCTCTTGGATATTTAAAGTATTTTTATCTGTACAGACATGACATGGAAGAATAATATATGACCTTATTTGTTCTAGATGAAAGTCTAGGAATTCTAAATAGCCATAACTATGATATTTATCTTGAATGCAAATATTTTCTCAAATACATACTATTTGAAGTCTAGGGGTAATAATTGTTTGACGTTTATAAATAAAATAGAAGTCAAGCATTCAATTGAAATGCCATTCAATGATTGTATCCTATGCGACGTCATTTCTATAATAACGAACTATTCGTTTGGTGTTGATTTGTTTATAAAACATAATTTTATTTTTGTTTAAAAGACAATCGATTTACAGAGAACTAGAAATAGGCTCTACGTTTATTGTTGTTCTGAATATTTGATTTATATAAACAACATTGAAACCATGATAAGTCTTTTTTTAAAGATTTATTCATCGATAAATTCGACGTATATAAAACTTCATATATTTATGATATCTTAGGTATTTTTATCTTATACTAGCAATTTCAACAAACTTTTGTCAACTCGAAAGATGTGTCGTTTACATAAACAACAATTAATTCACGTGATGTACTTCATGTAATCAATCTGTTTAGTAGTATACTACTGCGTAGTAAATAATTGACCTAAATAACGGGATGTTTTTCAATATATATATATATGAATTCTTTTGAGTATTTCGCTATCGATCTGTATAGAATCATGTTATTTTATTATGAAATATCTTTCGATCGTAGTTTTAGTATTTTCATCATTTGCCTCAAGCAACTTGAATTCTATTAGTCAAATATAATTAATCGGTCTTATTATATTTATATGAATGATAGAAACACATTCGATAATTCTTCATTCAATGGTTGTCAAAAATGTTTGAACGACAAAAAGCACGACTATTTTAAAAGTTGCCAAAATCTTTTTTTCTTTAATATTTTTACATAATTTGATAGACCTCATTGTGCTCTATACAACTGCCTGTTTAAACAGACATTTAAAAACTCTATTTTAGGACAAAGGGTGGGTGTGTGTCCGTATTGTTACTAGTACTTATTTTTAAATAGCATAGATATTGTTGAAGTTTTCTGGTAAATTATTATAAGAAGAAGGTAATGATAAGAGAAGTTTATAATTTATTTGCTTTGCTCTATTTATTTATTTTCTTGATAAATCAAAAGTTATTTAACAGTATATATATTGAAAATGTTATCAGTGTTTTTCTTGAAAAAATCTACAAAATTTGTGTTTGAATTCTTACTGACATTGTTAAAGTTAGTTACGAAAAAAAAATAAACTGAATATTTTATTTCTATCAGTTTCGATGGACATTAACATTACGTGCCGATCTATATAATAGTATTCTAGAAACGATGCCACAGCTTGCTCTGATCATCAATTAACTTTTTTTCTCTCTGTTGGTTACTGTAAAAAGCAGAATAATAATTATATACTGGGTTACATACAAGTGTGGAAGCATCATGAAAAATATCCTTATCGTTCTTAGTATTTGTATTATCTTCGCTTTCATATTGGCCCTTGACAGATTCGGTTCTCAATTGAATCATCAAGCAAATCATGCATCAAATATACAGAATCCTATGGCTCATCTTCGAGACCGTAGGCACCGCCAACAACAAAACCATTTAGACAACACTGATCCTGCACATGATCAGAAAAATGTTAATATCAACGAGAGCGCTAGCATAAATCATGTAACTTCTTCTGATCATCAAGAAGCTTTATATGAACAAAACGATCAACAATCGCATCCGTCTAATTCTATTGACGTTGATCATCCAGCTGATATAAATAATGATGCTTCTCAAAATATTACTGCTTCTGTTAATAAGCATGACGTTCATCCAAGATTTCGTTATGGGGAACAAAACGGTAGAAATACTGAAACAGAATCTTCGCTATTAACAACAACAACAACAACTACTACTACTACTGTTCCTTCAAATTCAAATACATTATCAGATCTATCTCTTCTATCAGATAGCAAAAGTGTTATAGATACAACAAAATCGTGGAGTCTTCTTCAAATATTTACAAAAGAAATTACGAATAATAGTTCTTCTATTCCCGAACGTGTACCATTTGCTGATTATTATTATCAACAACAATTACGAGCATTTTTTGGACATCGTCACGGAAAATTTGCTCCTCGTACTCGTTCATATGTTAAAACAGGATTGAAACGATAGAAAAAAACAACTAAACATTCTTTACAAGTATTCTTATAAAATAAAATGAAAATACATAAATAATTCAAAGATAAAATATATTAATCTATACTTTACAAAGTAGAAAACGAATAGATGTCTCTGAATATTCTTGGCATTTTACAGGTAGTCGCTAAGCAAACAAAAATTAAATAAGTAGATGGACAAAATGGTAACAAGATATTTTTTATTTATATATTACCCATGATTTTTCTCTTTCTAAAATATATAATAATAGATTTTAGTTAATGAACTTTCTGGAATCTAATTATCAAAAGTAATATTACATATCCTATGAACATATCTAATGAAAAATAATGATATTATTTCTTCAATTAAATTATTAAATAAACTGTGCTATTTCTGATCTTGATTTATCAGAAGATTTTTGTTTTGAATTGAACAAATAATTTCGATTGTCTTATTATATTTGCTAACAGGAGTGAAAATTTCTATTTTAAGATATGAAATACAAAAGAATCGATTAGTTTATAATCTCTAACATGTAAGAATAGAGGGCAATTTTTTTTTCTTCGTTTTTTCTTTGTCATTGTTCGATGCTTAAATCAATGCACAAATCGAGAATTGATGTTTCTCCTTGAAATAGAAGAAGAAAAAAAGAACATACTAGTATTATAACAGAGTCGTAATAAATTGAATTTATTAAAAGATTTTTTTCTTTCGATTTATTTTGAATTACTTTTCTATTTAAAGATTTTTTTCTGTTCCAACACAATGGTTCTTGGTATTAATCATCTCATAATCCGTGTTCAAACTTCTTCCTAAACTACAAATTTTATATATCTGATTTAAATTAAAATTATGCCTGTCGTACCACGACAAAGTAGAAATAGTTCGAGTGAGTCAAGTGAGGATTCATCATCATCGTCTGATGATGATATTCCATCACCATCATATGAAGGAACAAGAACGACTACAACAAATGAATTAACACTTAAAGATGATGATGATGCAATAGATTTTGAAACACCATTACAAGAAGATTTCGGTAATAATATTATAGTATTGATTTAATGAAAATATTTTCTTCTAGGAGAATCAGAAGATGATGATCAAGTAATTGTATCAAGAGTAGTAAAATCATCTGTATCAAGAATAAATGATGATGATAGAAAGGAACAATTAGCAAAGAAAAAACGGAAAAGGTTTATTATTTGAAATATATTTATGTAATCTTAATAAGACAATTTTATTCTAGAATGTATTTTATTTGTGTATCAATGTGCAAATATGATTGTGTAAGACGAGCTGCAAAACGCCTTAATTTTCGTGAAGTAGGTGATGATGATGATTGGAATGTTTATTGGACTGATACAAGTGTTGGAATTGAAAGAGTTGCACAAATGAAAAAATGGCAGGTTAGGGAGAAAAGAAGAATATATTCGAGATTGTTTATTTAGAAATAATTATTTATAGAAAATTAATCATTTTCCCGGTATGAGTGAAGTATGTCGAAAAGATTTTTTAACAAGAAATATGTCGCGAATGCTGAAAATGTTTCCAAAAGAATATTCATTTTATCCAAAAGCATGGTGTCTTCCAGCTGAGTATGTCATATTATATATAATGATGATAATTTTCAATTATTTTTTTATTTTTATATTAATAGTTATGCTGATTTTGCTAAATATTGTTCAGAGAAAAAATATAGAACATATATTTCTAAACCTGATGTTGGTTGTCAAGGTCGAGGAATATTTTTAACAAAACATCCTGGAAGAGATATTAAACCGTAAGATAAATAAATTTAATTCTATTTAGAAAATAATTATCTATTATATTTTAGAACTGATAATTTTGTTGTACAAGTATATGTTAATCGGGTAGGTATCAAGAATGTACTATAGAAAACAAGAGATTTGTTCTTTAAGATTTAAAATTTTTATATAAATGCTTTTTGATAGTTGACTAAATAAGAAAATGATTGATTTTGAATCCTTTATATGGCTTCATTACTTTTACAAATCATCAAATTTCTCCTAGAAAATAACAAGTTTATTAATGCACAATTCCACTTCTAGAATAATATTTTGAAAAAAAAAATGAAAACTATTATATCTGATGAGAACTATTTTCTTTTTATTCAACGTGTTCGTAGAAATA